TACACTTATGTATAAAAAACCTAAAGGTGCAGAAACATTCGTGTGCTTAGAATCACTTGGTTATTTGGAGAAAAGGGGGCAACTCAATGTCAGGAGTGTTAAACCTTTTGTTTATCATTGTGGGCTGTCTTACAGAGCCACAGAGGATTTATACAGAAAAGAACTCTCCATTTGGCAAGAAGTTGCTATGAGTCAAATTAAAAAAAAATAATCTTGAGAGTGTTCTTCTTGCTAGTTTCTCAACAAATTTAAGCAGAATGTAAAGTCAGAAACAGAAGGATTTTTGTTTCAGTTACAAAGACTTATTTAAAGTTCAAGACCTAATAAGGTAAGAAGAGCTATAGTGTTAAACATCTTGTTTTTGCAAAAATTAAGACGAAACTGTTTAGCTTTGGAAAACCCAAATGTGCTTAAAACCAATGCTGCACTTAAGTACTGCAGGCCTATGCGATTTATTTACAGCGTAAACCACAGAAATAAAAATACCTTGAAAACGTTTATCTACATTTTAACAAAAAACAGTTTCTTAAATACTGTATTAAGGGAATCTCTGAGATTAAGACCAAAAGTAAATTGATTAAAAGACAACTTTTTATCAAAATTCTCCTTGAACAAGTGTTTTTCTGCTAGCACACCTTTTCCACTGCTAGTATCTACAAACATTTTTCCTAGAATGAACCATTTGTCTGAGTTCCGTTGTATAATTTTAAGTAATTTATATAATTTTCATACAATGAAATGGAATAAAAATGTAATAATTCTGTAGTAATATTCTTTATTTCATTAAAAAATCTCCACTGCTTTTAGGGCTAATAAGACTCCATTTACCAATTAAAATGTTAACCACCCCCGATTCTAGCTTCATTATTAAGATCAGGGCACCCTGCCTTTACTTTGGCTAATCTTCCAATAGTCCAAGTAAAGGAAGTCCTAACTGAAGCAAGTGTGTGGGGGGGTGGGGGGTTGGGGGGATATGTGTGTTAAATTCTGAACAGTCTAACAAATAAAATAGTAAAACAGGCCGAGAGCTACAAATTCTAGGAAGCACACAATTACTCAGACAATCCTAGCACATTTCAAGGGTATCTCACCTTCTAACTCTAATTCCATGATAGAATGCCTATAACAAGTTGGCCTATGACAAATCGATCTACAACCATTCAGCCTTCTTTCTTACTTTTGGTAATGGGGTGCTGATCACCTCATAAGATCACCTCAATTTTTTAGACACTAGAATCTTTAGACACTTCTTTCTACTGTGTTGAGACTGCTTCATTATCATCTATCCACTCTAGGTCTGCCTTATGAAATTTGGAGAGAAAGTCTATTTCCTATACATATTTAAACAGGTTCAAATATCTTGCCACGTGTATCTGTGAAAGTACTTAATGTTCAAACTTAATATGCATTGCCTTCGTGATTGTAAACCAATCTTATTTCCAGACAGAGCTACCGTTCCCTGTCCTTTCGGCAGTCTTTATTTTTTACTAATTTAAATTTAATAAAATACATGTACTTGAACAAAACTCGCACAACACACACCAAAGTTTAAACGGAAACGTCTTCCTACCCCAGCCTTAAGAGCTCTCATTTCCTTGCAGGAAATTTCTATGCATCATTAAGCATATATATGCATTTTATTTTTTAAAAGGCAAACAGAACTATACTACTGCATGTTTATGCATCTTGCTTTTGCTACTTGATCTATGTGGAGATCCTTCCATATTGGCACATTCAGCTATTTAATATTACATTACACAGAGATTCCATAATTGGTTTAACCAATTTTACTAACATTTAGATTCACAGTTCTTGCTACTACAATTAATTCAGCAATGACCATTCTTGCAAACGTTTTTATATAACTATACAAGTAATTGTAAGATACATTCCTAGAGATAAAATTGCTGCTACATTAATGGGTATATAAATGATACATTTTGATACATTGCCACATTGCCCTACTAAGATGTTCCAGTGGTTCACAACTTGATTCACAGCATGTGAGAGTCACCCTTTCCCACTCTCTCGTCATCCCTGGGCATTAAACTTGTTTTAGTCTACCAATATTTATAACTATGAATGAGGACTGAACAATGTTCATGTATTTACTTGCACTTGTATTTCTGATTTGTGAGCTTCCTATTCATAAACTTTGCCCATTTTTTAACTGGGCAGATTAGATATCTGCCAGCAGCCCCTGGGGCATATAATTCCTTGTTTCCATGCAGACAAAAATGAACATTATGTAACCCAGGGTGCTGGGAGTGTGGTCCTTTCATCGCATTTCAACCCTTTTTAAGTAGGTAGACCTACCCCATTTCCCCACCTTGCTTTGTACTGTGCTTTAAGTTGATTTAATTAGTCAGCCTCAAGAGCATTTTAATTTGGTCTGTGGTGAGTGAGCCTGTGTGTACTGTTGCCATTGCTGCCGCCCGCACTGTGAGGTACAGGAAAGGTGGCTGATGGTACCGGGTGGTGAGACTACAGGAGTGGAGGTGCCCAGGTTAGTGACCAAGACTATAAGGCCCGACACCCCCTTGGACTGTTTCCAGCACCAACAAGACTTGGGGCTAAGTCAGGACAGGTGGACACTTGGGCTCTGATGATAATACTAAGAGAACTGACCTGCAAAGTCATCGTCACAGGGTTGATACCTGAACTCACCCACAAATAAGAACATCCAGAGTATAAGAGCCTACTACACACATACTTTCAGAGCCTCTCATTCTTCCTGCACTATAACCCGCTCGCTCCTCATCCTCACCCACCTGTCCTCAAGCTGCACAGATGCCACCTGGACAGAACAGCAGGAGGGCAGGGCACCCAAAAGACTCGGGATTCTCCTGACAGAGCGTCAGTCGCCCAAAAGTGGCATTGCAAACTAGAAGGGACTAAGATAACATTAACTGGCAACAGTTTCCCACTCTGCCTGGGGGTGATTTACTGAGAAAAAAGATACTTCATAGTTAAGAACTTACCTCTTCTCTGTACATCTGAGTAGAAATGTAAGTAAATTTGGTGATCCCACTATAGTTTTACTAACAGCACTACCATTATAGGAATGAAGAAAACAAAAGAAACGAGGAAGAGAAAGTTGGTTAGTTAGGTCGCGGACATAGAAAATGAATAACTTTAAACCAGTGTGTCCCACTTCAAAAATCCATAAGTATACCCATATGTGTACACACACACATACACACACACTCTACAAATATTTGATACTCTTATCTTGTCTGAAGACTATCTTCAGCAGCAGGAGACCTGAAAAACTGCTGCACATAAGATATATTAACTAATCAGAAAAGTCTCAAAAGTAAGAAAAGTGTATCAGCCCATATACATCCATTTATGTGTGACTTCACACTTTTCAGCTACAAACGTTTTTTATTCTCCAATGTCTATCTTTTTGCAGCAATACTATGTTGTAATTCCCCCCTGCAGTAAAACTGGGACACTCATATCAACCATATCAGAGTGAATAATCTCTTAAACAGCATAATTTTTATGACAGCCTTAAATGAAATTTTGTACATGCTTTGGATATAAAGGAAGGAAAATATGGAGTTTCATACATAGGTCAGTCTGCATGTCAGTCCACGTAAGATCACTGTATGCAGGAGGGCAAGAAGTAAGGGTCCAATCAGATCATCAGAAATGGCTACATATCTCATGACAAAGGGTCAATTGCTACCTCACTACTCGATTTTGGTTCTTAAGTACCTCTTACAAAGCGGGGAAATGCAGACCAGCATCTGTAGTAACAGCTCAGTATTTTACACACAGGAAAAAAACAATCAGATTTTGAAGAGAACACTTTGAAGTGATATGAAGATAACCAGCTGGACACCTGGATGCCAAGAGCCTCAGGGCTAAAAGGAAAAGACACAGTCAGGCCGACTGGCACAGGGTCTGAAAAGCTCAGAGCATGAGAGTCACCCTGCAGTTTCACTAAGAAAATTCAATCTGTGGGGCTGGTGCACCATCTGGTGACCATTCAGAGTCTAGGTGTCAAAAGTCGCCTGGATAGTTCTGGATGGTTTAGGAGGCCATCACAACCTACAACAAATGGCAGGTCTTTCGGGAAATTTTTCTAAAAAAAAAAAAGGATCTGACTTAAATGTGATGAAACACGAGGAGCAGTTCAGGTGACAATAAAGAATAAGAAAATTCTCAGTACCTTTAAGGACATAAAATGCCCCCGTGGAATACTCTACCAACTTGAAATATAAATATGTATATTTGTGCATTTTTCACATATTGACATAAACATTTTAATTATAGCATTCTGTATACAATTGCCAATGCCTGGTTATTGCAAAAAGGTTATGTCTAGGCAGCAACAGAACTACTTCTGACATTCATGAATTTCAGCCCTAGAAATATACCCATTTCCCCCCGCGAATTTTATGTCAGTGTTATTTGTTGATGCTACTGTATTATAACAACCAGAAGTTTCTCCAGTTGATCAGAGTCACGAACACTTGCCAACCAAGCTTTTTTCACCACTGCTTTCAGCAGCCGCGCTGAGACAGGCGTTCCAGAATGGCTACACGAAAGCCAGACAGTGAATGCATAGAACCGTACACAGACGATAATACATTAATGGTTATTTTAGTTCTTTCTCAATCTAGTCACACCGTTTTTCTCATACTACAACTGAGCATTCATATTTAACTCTTTCAGAACAAGAAAGTCTACAAAAACAAAAAACAAAAAAAAAAACATGCTCGAGTGCTCGTCATTCACTCAAGCTGACTTAACCGAATAAACCCAACATGCATTTCCTTCCCCTTTTTGGAACGAGCAAGTGGACAGGAATGCAGAATGCCCCAAACACTGCTTAATGTCCATGTGAATAGGCAGGAATTTAAATAACAAATGTGCCCCCACCTCCCAGGAAGGAAAAACAAGGTCACACAAACAGCTCCACAGAGCCAGGGGGGCAGAGGCCTCTCCAGAGCCCCGCTGGTCCAGGGAAGAGGGGCGGCTGTACTCACGCAGACGGCCAGAGCTCCTGCCCCCATCCTCACAGGAAGTGTCTGGTAGAACTGATGCAGGCCAGACGAAAACATCAAAATGACAGCAACACACTGAAATTCCAGTCAGTGGCTATGCTTTGATTCGAAAACCAGCACCCAATCCCGAGGCCCCTTGGGAAGCGCGGAGCGGCTCCTAACATTTTCGGAAGTGCGGTTTTGCTTCTCGTTCGGTTAAACCCACATGGCTGGGAGGACTGCCCGGAGTTGAAATCTGATCCTCCGCCTCTAGTATTGGCAAGGACAGGCGGTCACGTGGCACGGGTTTTAAGTTGCTGACATCTTTTCTTAAACCTGACCGTGCTGGCTGCCGCACAGACAGGCTTCTTCCGTCTGGAAAATGCTGATCAGCTGGCGGTACTCATGAACAGAACAGTGCAGAAAGAGAAAACACCAACTCACGTCCCTGTCGTTCCTCGTTTCTGAGACCAATCCACGTATTGACGCTCAGGTTTGCGTCTGCAGGAGCAGTCTTCACTTTTTGGAGGCAGTTCACTTCTGTTGCCCCCTAGAAACCAGTTAAATTCCATCACAATGTTCTTCCCGCCACTCCATTCTATACAATTGGCCTACGTGAAGGTGCTCGATTTTATGTAGCTGCTGCTTACTGCTTCTAATTACTTTCAAATGATTGAATTCACATACACTGGTGATAAGCATAAAACAACATGCATCTAGACATCCATAATTCTGGGGATGTGATTTCCAGTCTGGAGAATTGGCCTCTTTCAGTAACTTCCTATTCCATAGGCTGTGTCATTAGAAAATCTGATCGCTTTTATAAGGTCTACATATTTGAACTGGTAGCTAAAATATCCATTTTATATAAGCCGGAAGGAAACTATCCTGTTTTCATTTTTTACTGCCACATCTATCAAATCTTTTCTTGCCGGCACACTTAGGACAATGCTGAGCAGTATCACATGCGAAGTTTCACTGGACCCAACTTTAAATCACTTAAATCGCCATAATAACAAAGACCTAATAAAATTGTATCGTAAGGGGAGGAGGTGGTAGGAAAAGGGAAAACAAAAATTAGCTCCCATTTCAATACTTCTCTTCAAATCTAGTATTTCTTGCATATCTATAGCCAACCAACACTACCTACAGCAGAGCCAAGATAGCCAAATGTGTTGAGCAAGCCAGGGGACACGAGCACTTTTATTTCTATACGTGCTCACAAAACACTGCATAGGCTCTGCTTCCCCAAGGCAGAAGAACACAACCCCACAGCCATCCGGGGAATGGAGTGGGACAGTGGACATTCTTCTCCGTTAAAAAAAGGAGGAGAGGGTGGAGGCGGAAGAGGGTATGGGGTATAAATGGTGATGGAAAAATAAATACAATTTTTAAAAAGGAGAAAATTTTTCTACTTCTACCTTAATCCAGATTTTTAATCACTTCTGCTTTCTATTCCACCCATTAAAAAATTAGGCTGGTTACTAAAAAAAAGTGATCATAAAACAATCTTTCTACAACTTAAAAATGTTGGCTTCTTTTTCTGATTACATAAGTATTACCTGTCCAAGATGAAAAGTAAAAGCCTAGATTTAAAGGTTAGGTCACCGAGAGGCCATCACCCAATCAGCATTTATTTATTACCTACACTGGGCCAGGCCCTATGCTATACAATGTACAGAAAATGATAAGAAAGACAGGGATCTCTCATGGATCATTCAATGCGAGAGGGAGGAATAAAAATAAACTGACAAAAATAAGACATCTTTTTGAGTAGTAAATACAGAGGTGCTAATTAAGCAAAGATGAAGTAGTAAAAGAATAACAGAGGACAGCCAGCAACATTTAACATGCCAACTGCTAGTCTCTTTTCTATGCCTTTAAAAACATAATTTCTGATAATTTTCTATCCTAACTTTTTGGACTTAACATTGCATCAGAGGCATGCTCACAAATTGTTAAAAACACTATAAACAATTTTCATCATGTGTAAGAGCACAGTCTTTGGTCATTCTCCCATTTTTAGACATTTGCAGTTTCTGATTTTGTGTGTGTAACTAGCAATGCTTTGTCCTCACTCTGATTTTTTTCTAGTAGAGTCTTCTGAATGTGAAATTTCTGGATCCCAGAGAATAAGAATCTGTGCTAAGTCTCCCGACATACATTGGCTCTCGCAGTGTATATTCCACAACCCACCTTACCCAAGTCTGGATATTTTATAAAGTATTTCCTAGTAAGTGAAAACGATTTCTCATTTTAAAACTATTTCTTTCGATTATAATAATATTAAATATATTTTTAAAATCCTCCTTAGTCGTTTATGTAGTTTCTGCTCTGTGAACTCTCTTTGACCCATTCTCTTTGTCCACTATCAACTGGAACCTGATCAGTGGAAGTCTCTTCTGTAGGACTGTTGTGAAGATTAAATGACATGACCCATAAAAAGCACTTATTTTTGTTACCATTTGCCAGGTGCTATATAAGTAATTTTGGATACTTACATGGTTTAGATGCTTAAATCTATTTCAAAATATAGTAAAATATGAGGATCTGAAATGATGTTTTATTTTTCATATAACTACTGTGGCCAGACTGTTACCTCCCACAGTATGCAATGTCCGTTTCTGATATTAATGCTTGTTTTCCCTCTTAGTTGTAGATGAGCCCATAACCCAGTGAGAGACTACATTTCCCATCTTTTCCTACAGGTAGGCAGATAGGGCCATGTAACTATATACTCATTAACAGACTGTGAATGGTAGAATATGTACAACTTCTGTGACACATGCTTCATAGGACACCCCTTGTTCCACATTACTCTCCTCCCCTTTCATCACAAACTGGAATGCAGGTGTGCTAGAAACTCAGCTCTACCATGGAGAAGAAGAACAATGTCCCAGGGATGATGAACTACATGGAAGGGACTTAGACCTCTGAATGACCTTGTAGAGTACAGCTGCCTTACAAGCCTAGACCAACTCAACTTCTACATGAGAAAGAAAACAAACTCTCAATTTGCTACTGTTTTGAAGGTCTTGTGTGTACCTATATAAAACAGATTTGTCTTTATCCTAGCTAATGTACTAAGCAAATGAGTCAGCCACATTTTTTAATCAAATTTTTCATTTCCCAATTATCTGTAATATTACCTATACTACGTATACTATGTATTACATCCATATATACACACGTGTATTGATTGACCTGGGCCCTGAGGCTAAGGTGACAAAATGATTCCATTTTTATCATCAATGGACTTTCCTTGGTATTTTTCCAATAATAGGTTAATTACTCCTAGAAGTAAAGAAATTGCCTAGGGTTACAGTTGCCCCATGTACTCGAAAACTGCAAATCATGAGCCCAGTGATTAATGCTAATTTTGACTTCTGTAATCACTGTCACACACATTATTCTGCAGGTCCCCTGAGGGGGTGTGCAAAAGGGGGATGGGGCTTCTATATTTAAAAGCAGAAGAGCAAGAAGAATCGAGGCTGCTGATCTGAGGGGAGACCATGCCTCCTGCAGCCCACCGCAGTGAGAATAAAGCGCTCCTTTACAATTCGGCTGTGCATCTCATCTCACGGACACATTACAACATTGGCCCCAGCGAGATCCCTGGTGTTTTGTGACACCAAGGGCTAGACCCTAGGACGGGCAGCCTCTCCCAATCCGGCCACTGGACCCCTAGAGATCTGAGGGGAGGCACCCCCTGAGTTTCAGGGACCCAAAGATCCTACTTGGGTTTCTGACAAGCGGCTGGGAGATGCTAAGACGTCCCCAAAAAGACTGAAGGAGACCTGGTAGAAGCCTCCGGAGGTGAGTTCTGGGTGACCGGTCTATCTGGATGAGAGTAAGAGGGCCAGACACGGCGCAGCCTCTCCTCTCCTGGGAATCCCCCTAAGACATTAGGAAGGGGTTCAGATCTGGCAAATTCTGGTTCAAATCTGGCAAATTCTATTCATTCAGTCCTGCCATTGGGGTGGAAGGGGAGACTGATCACCTCCCAAGTGGCATAGGTGCCACTCAGGATAGGGAATTTCTGGAAATTCAAATGGTGTGTGAGTGTGACTGTGTGAATGTAATTGTGTGTGAGTGACCATGCTTCATGACGCTTGTTACGGAGCCTGTGTGAGCCCTAACCTGCAGCTCTGCGACTACCTTATACAACTAAAGGCAGTATCAGGTTCTTGGGTCATTCTGGTGTCCCATCAGTGAACCTGATCCGAATTGGGGGCTTAGTCCAACCCGCCACATGCCAAGAGATGTCTGAAATCTCCGCAAGGGGAGCGGCCAGGCGGATGAAGTGAAAGTTCTGTCTTGTGTGTCTTCCCTTGTTTTTGTCCTCGTCTGCCTCCCTACTGTGTCTCACTCAACTTTATTACGGTTAGTCTAGTCATAGACAGCACCCCTAGCGTCCAGAAGACCTCACTGGGTTGCATACTGAAACATTCTTAGAGAAGGATTTGAGGAAGGTTCTGATTGGGGCACAAATACTGGTAGTGGGCCCCAAACTGGGCCCCAAGAGAAACCTGGGCAAAGGTAGGGCAGTGCCTGTGAGGCAAAGATATAGCAAAAAGCTCAAACAAGTTTCTGGCACATTTACTCTTTGGGCCCTAATTAGAGATTGCCTTGATCTTGTGCAGGAGGCTAATAAAGTGGGAAAGCAAGGTGTAGTGAAAGACTTGGGGAAAGCCAAGAAAGGCTATGAGTCCTTAAAGACTCCCCTACCGCCTTCCACTACAACTGTGATTAATATTTGTGCTTTGAAGGCCTGGAAAGAGCTCCCAACAAAAGGGAAAAATTCGCTAGATCTTACATCCATCAGACAAGGACCTGAAGAGCCATGTCAAGATTTTGTAGCTTGGTTGCTACAGGTAGTTAACAGAGTAATAAATGATTCAGGGGCCGTCCCTGCTGGTGGGCCACCCTGTGTGTCCTGCATAGTGCTGCACATCAGGACTGGGGTTCGTTGTGGAGAGCCCCTCTTCCTGGGTAACGAGGGTGGTGGGCTGCAGGCAGGCATAAAAGCACTCACACGGAGGCCACAGGATTCCCTGGGGAGGGTGGTCAGGCCACGGAAGGGGTGTGTTCCTTCAGTGCCAGCCTAGGCGGCTTGTCTGTCTGCCCCCTCAG